CATCCTTCTAGGATCAGAAACTGCCTATGTAGATGCTGGATTTGAGAATGCAAATTTCCTCCTTTTAAAGGCACACGATAATTCTGACAGAGGCATGGGCGATATGGATGTGCTATCAACTCAGTGTTAATCCTCAAGCCAAAAGGAGAGCAAAACTGAAGCTCAAATCTTTTTTTAAACTTTTTATTGTGAATAGGGTAAAGGTTTTTAGAGCAAATAAATTGTAAGTTTTACATTCAACAATTTGAGCATATTTTGCTTCATTTAACTGATTACAATCCCCTGACTGTAACATCACTCATTCGTCCTCCTTTCCTAATCCTTCCAAATTTACTCAGCTGGCTGAGGATTCCAAGGTGCGCATCTCTCTAGTGCTGCTCTTCCCTACAGCCCTACCACGTGTTGGGCTGGGAATCAAGTCATGATGAGGATTTCAGTTCCAGACCTGAAGGGCGACTACAGGTCAGAGTCTCAGGGGTTCAACCAGGCTCTACTTTTCCCGTCACCTAGTCTCTTTTATGATTTTGACTTTTGTTCCATATTTTCTCCCACTCAACCCAGAATCCTCTAATGGGAAGCTCAAACTTTTCTGTTGATACTGTTTGTCTTAAAACTTCCGAATCTCCACAGTCTACTCACTGTTCTGATGTGACAACTATGGAAACTTTCCCGTTAAATTAACTATTAAGCCAAAAAAGACGTTCTTCACTGCATATATTTATACAACATGAAGTTTGTTCAAAATTTCATCACTGGAACATAGGATAGACAAAAGTGTCGCACTGTCTTCTGTACCCAATGTGTATATGTAATGTACATTCCAACAACCTGTGTGTGTTAAGTTTTGAATATGGTGATGGTAGTTGGTGGTGTGCTGTGGAGTTGATTCTGACTCATAGTGACCCTGCACAGGGTTTCCAAGTCTGTAAATCTTTACAGGAGCAGAAAGCTTCATCTTTCTCCCACGGAACCACTGGTAGTTTTGAACTACTGACCTTGAGGTTAGCAGCCCAACTCATAACCAGTATGCTATCAAAGCTCTGTAAGTTTTTAATATTTGTTGTTGTTGTTAAGTGCCGTCAAGTCGGTTCCGACCCATAGCAACCCTGTACAGGGTTTCCGAGGGTGTAAATCTTTATGGGAGTAGAAAGCCTTATCTTTCTCCCGCGGAGCGGCTGGTAGTTTTGAACCGCTGACCTTAAGGTTTGCAGCCCGAGTCGTAACCACTATGCTACCAGAGCTCCTTATAGCTTATTTAAAATAAAACCATGTGCCAGAGGCTCTGTAGTGCTGTGTGGCAATCTTGTACTCCCCACAGATGACATTAATTCAACATGTACTTATAAAGTTTGTCTACTATGTTCTAAGTGGACTGCAAATCATAAGATCCGTGGTTCGAACTCACCAGACACTCCCATCAAAGAAAGATGAGGCTTTCTGTTCCCACAAGGTCTCTATGAGTCAGAATTGACTCATCGGCACTTTACAACAACAACACTATGTTCCAGGCAGTGGTCAAAGTGTCAGGAATGTATTAGTGAACAAAACCGGCAAAGATTCCTATCCTAACGCAGCCTATAAATAAATGACTGGGTAGATTGGTAGACAGAGAGGCAGACCGATAATATAGTCAGAAAGGAGAACTGGGTGGATAGGGAAGGACTCAGTGAGAAGTTGGCTTTTGAATATTTACAACAGGTAAGGGAGTGAGCCAAATAATTATCTGGGAGGGGGAATGAGTGCATGCAGAGGAAACAGCTAGTGTCAAGGCAGTGACATCAGAGCAAGACTTTTATTGCAGGAATAGCAAGGGGTTTGTAGAGCTGGAGTGAAATGGAAGGAAGGTGCATTTGGCATTTGGGAAAGGAGTAAAAGAGTCAGAACATCAGTTTTCCATTCAGTAATTCATATACATTTTGTTTCATGTCATTCATTTATTACAATCCCCAGAATGCAACATGACTTATCTCATTTCCTCCTTGTGTTTCTCATTTCCATTCTTCTTTTCTGAACTTTGTCCTCGGGCAAATGCTCTCCTTTTGACCTCAAATGGTTGATTAATCTGAGGAGTGCATACCTCCCTACTGTCACTGTCCCCTTTATAGACCTGTGTGCTGTTGGCTGAAAATTGAGCGGGGGGTGGGGGGGTTCAGCTCTAGGCCTGAAGCCATAGTCGTGGCTGTTCCACCAATCTTGATCTGACCAATAAGCCTGGTCTTTTTTATGATTTTGAGCTTTGCTCCATATTTTTCTCCCTCTCTATCCAGGACGTTGTAATGTGATTCCTTTCAGAGTGGATTGCAGTGATAACCAGGCACCATCTACTTAAGAAGTGACGATATGACTTTTCCATAGGAGTGACTTGATATTTTGCCTAGATGCCCAAAGACTTCTTTTTTTTATCATATCCCAAAATGAGCTGATTCCATACTGAACTCCAACTCAGTCCCCATTTCAATAAGTGACAACATGCTTTCATTTGCTTAGACTAAAATCCTCTGGGTTATCTGGACTATTTTTTTCTGGCACAATCTACAAGCAATCCGTTAACAAATCTAATTGCCTCTGTCTTCAATGTATATAGGATCTGCCATGATCATCCTAGTCCATGTTACCGAAATCTCTTGTCTAAGAAATCATAATAGCTTAACTGGCCTCCTTGCTTCTTACTTCCTCACAGACCTTTTCTCCATAAGAGCATCGTGAGTGATCCTATCCAAAATAGTAAGTCAGAACATGTCACTCTTCTGCTCAGAACCTTCACAAGGCTCTCCTTTTCACCACTCATAGTAGAAGCCAATGTCCTTCAACAGCTAACAAGACCCTACATGAGCAGTACCATCCCCCCGCTACCTTTCTGACCGCACTCCTATTCTCCTTCCTCAAACCATGCCAATCAGACTAGTCTGTCCTGGAACATTCTCCCAGATAGCAAGGTCCTTTGCAGTTGTCTCTGCCTCTTGCCCTAGATCTCCAAATGGCGGATGCTTTTACTCCTTTCCCAAATGCATTGCCAGAGAGTCGATTCCAACTCACAGTGGCTTCACAGTAGTGATCTATAGGACAGAGTCCAATTGTCCCAGAGGGTTTCCAAGGCTGTCAGTCTGTATGGAAGCAGATTGCTGATCTTTCTCCATGGGTTCAAATTGCTAACTCCTCAGAGACCCTATGTTGTTGTTGTTTTTATGTGCCGTGGAGTCGGTTCCGACTCATAGGGACCCTGCACAGGGTTTCCGAGGCTGTTAATCTTTACAGGAGCAGAACGCCTCATCTTTCTCCCGCGGAGCAGCTGGTAGTTTCAAACTGCTGACCTTGCGGTTCACAGCCCGATTTGTAACCACTGCGCTACCAGAGCTGCTATGAGTCAGAACTGACTGGACAGCACATAACAACCAAGTTAGTGGCCATGCTCTTATCCACTGTACCACCCAGACTTCTTTGCAGTGGATTATCTGATGTCTCTTCTTGTCAGAGTCTATAACTCCCACCAAACAACATTTCTACCCTACTGTGTGTGGGTAAGAGAAGGTGGGAGAGATACTGATAGGATACCATGACTCAGCTGTGTGTGGATGGTAACAGAATTCACTGTAATTGTAAAACCGGACACTCTAGCAAGGGGATAAAATGAGTCATTTCAGAAGCAGGAGAGGGGACAGTTCTTACTACCATCAAAGAAGAAGAGCCACTGCAAAGTTTCAAGCGGGAGTTTAGTTTTAGAGTGTGCGGGGGAAGGTACAGTCCCCACTGAATAATCTTCATCTTGTCTACACTGGTCTGGTGAAAGGCAGGGGGATAAGATTCTTATGATTCAACAGTGAGTAACTGTTATCATGACTAATTGCAAGTGTCACAATTGTCAATGTAGAAGTTTTGTTTGAAAAATGGTTGAGTAGTTAATCTTACAGACCAGAAACAAAGGACCCTAGGACTATCAAGGCAGAAAAGCACAAGCCGAATGCAGGACCCTATCCAGAGAAGCATCAACACCAGAAATGGAGGCAGAGATGGGGACATAGAAAACGGGAGCAGCTGAGGACTCTGGACTCATGAAAAGAGAGCGACTGAATGCTGGTGGACAGGAGGCAGACTTGCAGAATGTGCCCTTTGGTAATTTATATTATTATATATGCTTGAGTGTTTCTGTGTACACCCCCCAAAAAAACAAAAAACACAACAAAACAAAACAGGGAATGGAAACAAATACTGTTGAATGATGATGCACGGAGAAGATTGTAATCATTGCAACGAAACGATGGTGTAAAGCAGATGTTCTCCCATGTGAGCTATCACTCAGTTCACAATAAAAACTTACAAAAAAAAAAAAGTAGAGCCAGGAGTGGAGCGCATTCTTTGGACCCCCAAATCCCTGTGCATCTAACCTCCTCAACTCAGGGATAATAAAGCTGTGGTACCAGAGGAGTGACAGAGTCAGCAGCAGCAGAACCAAGAACCAGAGCAAGAGACAGAGCAAGTAAAGCTGGGTGGCTGGGCAGGAAGCTTGTATAGAGTGGGGTGCCTTCAGGCACTTCAGTGGGGCAGCTAGAGTCGAGTGCCTGCAGGCTGAGGTTTGTGGTGGAGTGCTGTGTCCTGTGGGCATTTATCAGCAGCTGACAGGAACAACTGTGCCTGAGGACTTCTGACCCCAACTTGTAACCTGTTAACTTCCTTATGGAGTCCTGCTGTGGCACTATAGGATAAGTAAGGCAACAAGTCAAAACCAAAAAACAACCCCCAAAAAACCCGGAAAAGGGCAACAAGGGGTAAAAACAAACCAAACGGAACTAAAAAAAAAAAGGACGTCCTTAATAAACCCCATAACTCTTGAGTGTAGTGCCTGAGTTCTGTGTGGACACTGCAATGGATGACCAGACTCAGTAGAGAAGCAGAGAGCATTGTGGGGGGAATGGTTAGTGCCACATGTTTTTGAAATTTCTTTTAGGTCTATTCAAATATCACCTTTATCAAGGTTTAAAAATGAAACAAAACAATATTTCCTCCATTTACAGATCCCTCATAGTATCCTTAGCCTGCTTTAATTTTCTCAATTATTCTTGTCACTGATTTCTTTGCTCAAAATATTAGTCCTAATTTCTATTTACTTCAGAAATTAAAATCCTGTGTGTTTCAAAATCAGAAAAAACAGGTTCTTGGTTAAATAATTTCAGTCTTCCAAGACTTTTAAGACAGCACAATTTTAAATTTATATATCATAATTGAAAATAGTATTGTATCCACTATAATATTTATAATTATAATCATGAAACTTTTGGCTTTTACATACATATTTAATTTAAGTTAATTTGGTAACTAAAATTTAAAAACAAACAATTCCTTTGGCTTTTCTATGAATTCAATAATATCAGCTAAAAATGTTTCTGCTCTTTTCCATAAAAAATTGTTTTGTTTCATGTCTAATCATATCCTACAAAATCTCCAAAACAATACTAAATGATAATGATAAATGAATAAATAATGAAAAATTCATTCAAGTGTTACTTTTGAATAAATTAAAGATTCAAATGTGTAGGCCTGAATCCTCAATTTGCTTAATATAAACTGCAGATATTACTAAGTACTAAAACTTTTAAGTCCTGGTATGGCACTGCTGAGTGAGCACTGGACTTCTGACTGCAAGGTTAGCGGTTCAAATCTACCAGCTGCTCCTCAAAAACCCAATACAGAATCGCTCTGAGTCGGAACTGACTCAGCAGCACTAGCATCAATAACACTTTAAAACATTATTTATAACATTTTTTACAACAGAATTACATCTGTAGAATTAGCATGCACTTGTATAAGAAATAGGACTGGGGAACTCAAAAGGTTCTCAAATACTAGTTTCTGTGTATAAATAAATCAATATTTTCCTATTGATGAATATAATAGAATCCAAATTCTATGGATTAAAATTACTTGAAATAAAAGATGTGATTTAAAATAGTTTAGCTGATCCCTCAATAGGTGAAAATAAACATACCTCCCATTTTTGTCATCTTCATGAATAAAGGAAGGCAGGGTCTGTCTGCAAATATTTCACTCTGATGAAGAAGACATTCCTTTACTACATCATAGCCATTTAGAACCACAGTTGATATGCCTCCAAGATCTAAACTGAAGATCTTTTGAGAAAAAGGGGAAAAAGGCATTTGAGTAGCAGACTGTATGAAGTACTATGATGAAGTCCTAAAGTCCATAGATACTAAGCACAACTTTCCCAGTATTTGTTACTCTTCTGAAAACGTAGGCGTTCATTACTCAGTTGATCGTGTTGGGAGTGCCTTCTCTGTACAGGCGTGGAAAGCACTATGACTTCATTAAGTCACTCGGTACCCTGATACTCAAAATATCCAATGATTACTCAGGAGTCTTCTTTTTATTTCCAATAAAGCAGCAGCAGCATCTGCATTATCCCTTATTACTCCAGCTTTAGGTGGGGCACGGGGCTGTGAAAGGCCTGAGACAATTTGATTTCCCTCATTTCTATGATACAATGAAGAACTTTTGAGTGGAGATAGATATTGCTGTTAAACGCCATCAAATCAGTTCGGACCTATAGCAGCTCCATATGGGGTTTCCAAGGAGTGGTTGGTGAGCTTAAACTGCCAACCTTGGGGTTCAAACTGACCTTGCAGTCCAGTGCATTAACCCATAGCACCAATCCAGGACTCCTATATAGGTTCTGCTATTTAATCAGGGACCCTAATCAAAGCCCCTAAAAGTTGCAATTGAACTGAATACGTCTATTCTTCTTGAAAAGGTATAAATATACTGCAACTAGACTCATCTGTATTCAGATCCTTGAATCCCACAGTTACTGAAGAAGGTCCTCAAACAAACTGACCTTGAGGAAAGGCATTCACCACTCTGGCATAATGACTAGGCCTCAGCTAAGGAGAAGGCAAGGCAGAATATCCAGTCTCTGCCTTATGCATAGGAGAGTTCACCATGTGCTGGACTCAGACTCACTTACGTCATCACACCTTACAGTCAGTATATCCTTGCTAGTCCAAGAACAATGTTACCTTATTGGTGGGATGCAAAGATTGCAAACTCCATCCCTGGAGGGGTTATTCTGTTCCAGACTAGCTTTTCAAAACCATAGTACTGAGTCAAGCCTCACCTCCATCCGTCTAGGCAGAGCAGATTTGGCCATGGGACACACAACTTAGAAGAAAACATGGGACACAGGAGCATATGCAACAGGAAAACAATGGAAGGAGCACCAATGGTTAATTGCTTAGGTGCTAACTGAAAGATCAGTGGTTCAAACCCACAAGCAGCACTTTGGGAGAAAAGACTTGATGATCTGTTCATATAAAGACTTTTGTTGTTGTTATTAAGTGCTGTCAAGTTGGTTCCAACCCAAAGCGACCCTGTACAGGATGTCTGAGGAGCGGTTGGTGAGCTTGAACCACCAACCTTGCAGTCCTGCACATTAGCCCATAGCGTCACACCAGGACTCCACATAAAGATTACAGCATAGGAAACCCTACGAAGCAATTGTACTATGTCATATCAGATTTCTATGAGTCAGAATTGACTGGTTTGTTTGTGTGTGTGTGTGTAATTAAGTTAGAATCGACTTTTAGAGTCCTTGACTAAGTAACAGAACCTGTATCCATCTCCACTCAAAAGTTCTTCAATATGCCATAGAAATGAGGGAAGTCAAGTCTCATAGGCATTTCACAGCACACAACAATAGTTAGCACAAACAATTACAATAGCAAATGTGAAACCCTACAAGAGATATAAATTCACTGGTGTGGTGCTATTGGATCAGCACTGGACTGCTAACCACAAGGTTGGTGGTTTAAACTA